AAATGAAGAAGCATCTCTCTTTGCTTTTTGTGTTGCATTATTATCTAAATATTTTAGAATTGAAATTGGACTTCCGCATACTCATTCAACAAAAACCGTTCAATTTGCAAATATTAAAAAATTATATTATGAAAATGATTATCTAAATGTAGAAGATTTTGTTGTTAACAAATTACAAGAACTTGCAGCGCTAGATAGAAAGGACAATATTCCTGAATCAACTATTTCAAGAAGAGTCCAAGAAAGACGTAGAAAAATAATGAAAGAACTTTTAGAAGATTTATTATTTGAATATGGTATTATCGTTATCGATAGTACTAATAGAATTTCCAATGTCAATAGAACATGTATTTGTACATATAAATTTAAACAATTTAACCATGAACATGTCATGGTAAATGGAAGAAAAATTGCTGAAATGATAGAAGAAAAAGTTAATAAAGAAAGAAATTGTTTTTTTGAAAAGAATGATTTTGATCATTTCCCTGTACAAATACGATAGTAATATCTATATTTTTTGAATTGATATATCTGAGAATGTCAACAACTAAAGTATATCATTCTTTTTTTTTTGTTAATTAAAAAATATTAAAAATCAAAAAAATAGAAAATAACAAATTTTTTTGATAAAAAATTGAAATTAGTTTAAGTTAAAAAAACCCCATTTTCTAAAAATTAATAAAAAAATCTTAAAAAAAAATTAATAAAAAGAAAAGAAATGAGTGATTATCTCTTGGCAAATTATAGTCATGAATATGAAAATGAATTTATGTATTTAATGATAGAAACAAGTATGGGAACAAAATTTGATAATAATGATAAATTACCTAAATGTCTTGTTATGGTTGGTGGCAAACCTATTATTCAATGGCAAATAGAGGTGCTTGAGAAATTAAATGTTAAAGAATTAGAAATTGTAGTTGGAACGTCTGTTGTTGCTCTTGTTCAATCAACTGTTGGATCAATTAAGACAACAATTAATATCCATTATTATCCAATTGATGATATGGAATTCTTACACAATGGAGTTGCATTAAAAAAGTTTAGAGAAGACAATAGAGAGAAATTAATGAAATACAGAGACGTAGTCGTTATTGGAACTGATTTATTATTTGATACTACTACATTTACAAATTTTATTAACCAACATAGAATTGAAAGTAGTTATCTTACTTTACTTACTACTGAAGAAAAAAGACC